CGACCTCGCTTTAAAATGAACAACATAACTAAGGTTCGAATTCGACCTTATGCTGAGAGCCCCGAGATTCGTACTCGACCCCGGATTATCGTGTTCGAGGTTCGTGTTGGACCTCGCTTTAAAATGAACAACATAATTAAGGTTCGAATTCGACCTTATGCTGAGAGTCTCGAGGTTCGTACTCGACCTCGGATTATCGTGTTCGAGGTTCGTGTTCGACCTCACTTTAAAATGAACAACACAACTAAGGTTCGAACTCGACCTTATGCTGAGAGCCCCGAGGTTCGTACTCGACCCTGGATTATCATGTTCGAGGTTTGTGTTCGACCTCGCTTTATCGTGTTCGAGGTTCGTGTTCGACCTCGCTTTAAAATGAACAACATAATTAAGGTTCGAATTCAACCTTATGCTGAGAGTCCCGAGGTTCATACTCGACCCCGGATTATCGTGTTCGAGGTTCGTGTTCGACCACAATGATGAGATATTGTCTGTTTTGGGCCTAAGTCCTTACAGTTTTGTTTTTGGTTATTACCTAAAAGGCCTCTCAATCATTGAAGTATGTTTGTATTATATAAGTTGTTATTTTTTGTCTTATTTTATCGACGTAAGACTTGTTTGTATACCAACAAAAGCAATGTTATTAACTTGTTTGGACAGTGTGAAGGAATCAGATTATAATAGAGAAATGTATCTCAATGTGAAGGAACAAGGTATCCATTTTTAATTTTTTATTATTTGCTATAAAATTGTACATGTATAACATAAGACATAGCATGCGGTTGCTGTTTAGTTATTGGTAATTGTATATCAGTTATTTTCTTATTTTTAATTATATTTTAATCATGGAGACAATTTATAATAATGCAAATGTACATAGTAAGAAAATAAGAAAATTTTAAAATTTTGTGGAGGCAATTGCTACCTGTGCCCCTAAAATGTTTCTGTTTAATAATATTTTTTTTATATATATACTTTTTTTTTAGATATTTTTAATTATTAATTAAATTTTATTAAAATTATAATATCCGGTGAGTTAATTTTTTAACTTTAATAAACTTTAATCAACAATAAAAAAATTTATATCAAAAAAGTATGTGTCCAATGTTACCTGATAAAGATGTTTTATTTAACGCATGAACTTTTTATCGTTAATATCATTTATTTTGAAATTTCTGAATGAATTTTTCTAAAAGTATTTTTAAAAAATATTTTTTATATAAATTAAAATTAGTTTATGTATAATTTTGTTTATGGTTATTACCTAAAAGGCCTCTCAATCATTGAAGTATGTTTGTATTATATAAGTTGTTATTTTTTGTCTTATTTTATCGACGTAAGACTTGTTTGTATACCAACAAAAGCAATGTTATTAACTTGTTTGGACAGTGTGAAGGAATCAGATTATAATAGAGAAATGTATCTCAATGTGAAGGAACAAGGTATCCATTTTTAATTTTTTATTATTTGCTATAAAATTGTACATGTATAACATAAGACATAGCATGCGGTTGCTGTTTAGTTATTGGTAATTGTATATCAGTTATTTTCTTATTTTTAATTATATTTTAATCATGGAGACAATTTATAATAATGCAAATGTACATAGTAAGAAAATAAGAAAATTTTAAAATTTTGTGGAGGCAATTGCTACCTGTGCCCCTAAAATGTTTCTGTTTAATAATATTTTTTTTATATATATACTTTTTTTTTAGATATTTTTAATTATTAATTAAATTTTATTAAAATTATAATATCCGGTGAGTTAATTTTTTAACTTTAATAAACTTTAATCAACAATAAAAAAATTTATATCAAAAAAGTATGTGTCCAATGTTACCTGATAAAGATGTTTTATTTAACGCATGAACTTTTTATCGTTAATATCATTTATTTTGAAATTTCTGAATGAATTTTTCTAAAAGTAGTTTTTGGTTATTACCTAAAAGGCCTCTCAATCATTGAAGTATGTTTGTATTATATAAGTTGTTATTTTTTGTCTTATTTTATCGACGTAAGACTTGTTTGTATACCAACAAAAGCAATGTTATTAACTTGTTTGGACAGTGTGCGAGCTGCTGACGCCTCCTCCCGCAAAACGACTTGCAATCGTGTTGATTACTCCCCTTAAGGGAGCCGATGCTGTTTCCTGACTTATTCCAGCCTGTATCGCGCCGTTAGCATTTTGCTGGGACCCTGTGGGTAAATATGTGCGAGCTCCTGACCCGCGTCCCCGGCCTCCAGAGCCACCTCGGGAACCTGGCTGTCGCTGGATGTAGTGGCCTGCCTGGATGAGCTCTTTGATGCGGTCCCGGAGCGTGCGACACTCGTCAGTGGTGTGGCCGTAGTTCCTGTGGTACCGGCAGTGTTTGGACTGATCGGCGCTGTTGGGGGTGTGGCCGGGTGGTGGCAGCGCTAGTAGGTTATTGTTACTGGCTTCTTCCAGGATGTGGACTCTCGGGGCGTTTAGGGGAGTGTAGTAGTCATACCTCCCGCTTCTGTTGGCTCTGGCCAGCTTCTTGAATTGACTGTCATTATTGACTTTTACCTTATCTTTGTGGCTCTGTTCCGGTTTTGCGGGGCCCTTCCCGCGAACTTGGTCGCGGAAGGCCGAGTGCTCTTCCATCTGAATGTAGCCTGCGACGCGGGCACGCAGCTCATCCATGTCGCGGGAGGCGTCGCGGCATAGGCTGTCGACGAACGATCCGGGTTTCAGTGCCATGAGCATGGCGTGCAGGGCGACCTCCGGGTTTAGATTCCGGATCCGAACCGAGATGTTGGAGAAGCGCTCCATGAAAGCTCGCAGAGTTTCATCATTGTTCTGCATGAGGTTGGCCAAGGCGGCCGAGGTTGTGTGGTGAGGCCGGCTGGTGGCGTATTGTGCCACGAATCGCCGCACCAAGGTGGCAAAGCTGTCGATGGATCCGGCTGGTAGTTGGGTGTACCAATGAAGCGCGGGTCCCTTGAGTGAGGTCAGAAAAACCCTACACAATATAGCGTCGCTGTTAGTGTAAAGGTTTACCTGAGTTGTGTACGAGTCGATGTGCTCGTCGGGGTCCGTGGTGCCGTCGTAGCGGTCGAGGTGGAGGGGCTTCCACCCGCGGGGCAGTGGGGTCTCCATGATGCCATCCACAAAAGGATGACGGCGGAAGGGTTCTTGGCCCTCGGAGACATGGGTGGGGGCCCTGCTAGTACCCTGCCCTGATCTGTGCGTTGATGCATGAGACCGGTGCGTGGCGGGCCGCGAAGTCGGTGCCTTGGTCGTCACTCGGGATTGGGAGGCTGAATGTGCCTCCTCCTCATGAGTGTCGCTCTCGTGCGGAGGTTGTTCGGAGTGGTGTCGAGGGAGCTGGGCGCGAATGCGCTCGTTCTCGGCACGTAATGCTGCGAGGCCTGCTTCATTAGCGGTCCGCATCGCTGCCAGGTCATTTTCGTGCTGGGTGCGCATGTTTTGAAGGTCGGCGTCGTGCTGTTGTCGCATCTGCTCAACTTGGTCGATCAGCCGCCTTAGGGTTGCAGCGTCGCTGTCCATGTTGATTGAGTGGCTTGCGTCATCTGTCGCTCGTCTGATATGACTTCTGGTAGAAACCATGCAGGTGGCCGATAAGAGTTGTCTTGATCGGCCCCACGGTGGGCGCCAAATGTTCTTACCGGAATTTGGTCGTAGAGGTGATCCGTCCAGTAAGATTTGTGAGCCTCCTTTGCCCGATGTATTGGTGCTCCAAGATGGGGGAGGTACCTGCAAAAGAGACTCCGATGCCAAAGTTAGTGTTTGCATGAGTAATAGTCTCATATATATAATGCACGTACCTTGAGGTGATTTAGGTTTGCCTTGGGCTTTTGGGCTTGAGATGAGATATATCATGATATGATATGATATAATTGAAGGGCGGATCTGGTTTGGGACGAGATCCTCGGAATCAGGTATGATTTGCTCAAATACCGGGCTGACGTCGCCTAGCATGTGCCCCGGACTGTTTTGTATTGCTAATCCGGGCTTGGAGCCCGGGTGCGAAGTACGGTTAGTACAGTTAACATACAATCAAATATAAGAACTAAGTGAGTAGCATAAAAACTAGACCTCTTATTAGCACATGACAGTTAATTTAAAATAATTTAAAATTCAATTTAATAATTAGTTTATTAAACTTAATTCATTAATTAAATGAACTAAAATTGAGTTAAAGATTGAACTTAATAAATAAATAAACCAAATATTTTTTTTGAGGGGATAAACCAAATCTAAATTACGTATAATTTAATTAGTTTGGTTCATTAAATTGACTTGATGAATAAATATATAATTTATATAATTAATTTTTTATTTAATTTTAATTTATATTAAAATTTGAATATTAACTTTATATATACATACTAAAATCATATTTATAAACTTAAGACAAAATTAATTCTGATATATTTCATCATCAAATCAAACACGTAGCCTAAGACAAGACTAACTTTAGAGATTAATCATCCATGTGTGATTAGTTCATTATTTATAGGTGACTGCTACTGTGCTACAGCCTACACTTGTCGACAATGCATATTGCATATAGCCGATGTAGTATGAAATGATGAATATATACTATCGCTTTTGCTCGTTTCTCACGCAACAAATGACTGAATCCACGCGGAATCCGTTGCAAGTCACAAATATTTAAGTGTTCAGACTGAAAAGATTAGTATATTACCAACTAAACAAAAATCATATTAGATTAATATTTTATTGTAGTAAGATTTTTCATTTTCTCTTCCATTTTATTTTATTTTATTTCATTTCTCTTTATTTTTTTATCATATTCATTATTATTTTTCTTTTTATTTCTTTCTTCTGTGTACTTATTATCTTCTTCTTTTTTTTAATTATGCTTATCATATTTCCCCCCCCCCCCCCAAACCTAAAAAATTGGAGCGTACGTAATAAAGTATACCTAGCCACGCTAGTTGCATGGTTCTCACATTTGAAATGTTCAAACTTCAAAGTCAAGGTCATCGATTGAGACTTAACCGACCCAATGCCATGTGATGAGTTTTATTTACACCAAATGTAAGGGACCAAACCCAACACAACATAGCGTCTCCCAAACCAACATGTCCTCTCACCACTTTGTGTTGGTTCCACTATTCGCCCAAGGCCACATGATCCCCATGATAGACATGGCAAAGATCTTGGCTCAACAAGGTGTGATGGTGACTTTGCTCAGCACTCCTCAAAACGCCTCAAGGTTCGACCAAACAATTCGTAGAGCATCACAATCTGGCCTTCCAATCCACCTCTTGCAACTCCCATTCCCATGCCAACAAGTAGGCCTTCCCTTAGGCTGCGAGAATCTCGACACTTTGCCATCAAGAACCCTCCTCAGAAGATTCTACAATGCCCTTGACATGCTTCAAGAGCCCTTGGAACACTTCCTCCAACACCATGCTTCTCCACCAACCTGCATTATATCAGACAAGTGCCTCTCTTGGACTTCCACCACAGCCTCCAAGTTCAACATTCCAAGGCTTGTCTTCCACGGGATGTCTTGCTTCTCATTGCTCAGCTCCCACAACATCAAACTCACTAATGCTCATCTTTCTGTCAACTCTGACTCACAACCTTTTCTCATACCTGGCCTGCCCCAAAGGGTTGAGATCACAAGAGCACAGCTTCCTGGGGCGTTTGTAGCCCTACCTGACTTGGATGACTTCAGGGACAAAATGGTTGAGGCTGAAATGTCCTCTCATGGGATTGTGGTCAATAGTTTTCAGGAATTGGAACAAGGGTGTGCTGAGGAGTATGAGAAGGTTATGAATAAGAGGGTTTGGTGCATTGGTCCTGTCTCCTTGTGTAACAAGGAGAGTTTGGACAAGTTTGAGAGAGGGAACAAACCTTCTATTGAGGAGAAACAATGCTTGGAATGGCTCAACTTGATGGAACCAAGGTCAGTTATTTATGTGTGTCTTGGTAGCTTATGTAGGCTTGTTCCTTCTCAACTAATTGAACTTGGGTTGGGCTTGGAAGCATCAAATAGACCCTTTATTTGGGTGGTCAAAACTATAGGAGAGAACTTTTCTGAGCTAGAAAAGTGGCTGGAAGATGAAAAATTTGAGGAAAGGATCAAGGGAAGGGGTCTTTTGATTAAGGGATGGGCACCACAAATTTTAATATTGTCACACTCCGCAATCGGAGGATTCTTGACTCACTGTGGCTGGAATTCAACGATAGAAAGTGTGTGCTTTGGGGTGCCAATGATAACGTGGCCTTTATTTGCTGAACAATTTTTGAATGAAAAATTTGTTGTTGAGGTTTTGAAGATTGGTGTTAGAATAGGTGTTGAGGTCCCGGTGAGGTTTGGTGATGAAGCCAAAACTGGGGTTTTGGTGAAGAAAAGTAAAATCGTTGATGCTGTAGAGATGACTATGGAGGGAGGTGAAGAGGGGGAGAAGAGGAGAACAAGAGCAACAGAACTTGGAAACTTTGCTAGAAGGGCTCTAGAGGAGGAAGGTTCGTCACGGTTCAACATTTCGTGCTTGATTCAAGATACAATGAAACATTAATCGACTATAGGTTAGAGTCACGTATATGGATATGATTGATTTTTTTTTTTTTTTTTTTTTTTTTTTTTTTTTTTTTTTTTTTTTTTTT